ACACGTGTTTTATGAAGTGGCTATACAGGTTGTTATAGTATACAGGGTGCTAAATCATTTAAAAACAATAATTTTGAAGTTAATTCTTTTAACTTCTAACAATATATTTTATTTTTTAATGTATTTTACTTAACACTTTTTTGACTAGTCTGATAGGATTTTACATTATGTACCTAGTGTATAATGCTCAAAGATGAATAAATTCTATTTCTATTAGCTGTAACTAGGTCATTATTAGAAGGAGCATCTGCTTCATTTTGCTTGATATTAAATATAATTATATTTTTCTTCCTTGTTTCCCTGTTGGAGACTTCACCAAGCACTGAATCAATGTCACCAACAGCTTTAACATCACGCGTTGATGATTAGGAAGACAGGTCCTGGACTTGTTTGTTCAAGCTAGGTTAAATTTAGTTTATCATTTTCCAATCCTCTAATATTGCCCTTAAGTAAATCAATTTCCGTAGCCAATGCTGCTCAAAAAAATATTACATCTACAATCGTTTTTGTTTCGCTTCTCCTGTAAAATTAACATTTATAAGGTTATGGCACTATTGAAACAGGGTGCGATATATTAATTAGTTAAATCCTCAATTTTTTAGAGAAAATTAGTTTATCACAATGCAGGTCACTTAATCTACAAGTAGATATAAAAAAATTTTAAACTTTTACGTTTTTACCAGTGAAAAATAGTTTTTTGTTAAAACAACCATGTACCTGTATAGACTCACTACTAACATGTATATGTTCAAAATGCTTGCGGCGAACCTCTTGGTAACATCCTAATCTGAAATAAAAATGTCTTATTCAACATCTCAGGAGTGACCGATCTAATCGCAAGCGTTATTCGTCTTCTTAAGTCAGCTAGGTTTTAATATTTCCGAAACAGTTAGGCATAGGATAGGTACATAAAAGGTACAGAGGTACATAAAATGTCCTCTAGAATTTTCTGAAAAATTCAAAAATTTGAAAATATACAGGGTGTTGCATTTAAAATAAGGAAAATGATATTGGCCACTGTTACATGACAAACCCTGTATTAAAAGTTTCTGTTAAAAAAATGCGCAACTAAAAATACCAATCGACATGTCCGAGCGTTTTTCCGAACACGCCCCCATTTATTTATTCCACACTGTACAGAATGTTTTAAAAGTCAAATATTAATAAAACTTACCCAAACGCCCTTAAGATATCCAACATATTCTTTTATTAATCAATCAATCAATCACTTGATAAATACAATGCAAATTCATGTAAAATGGATGGATAACAGAACATACAAAAATATGTATTATAAAATAATTATTTTAAATTCTATCATGTATTTGATGTATGACAAATTTAAGAACTTAAAATTAAAAACAAAGTCTGTATATACACAAGTAAAAAAATTGTCCATTTCATATTATTTTCCTAATCCTAATTTTTTCGCTTCGACTTCGTAAATTAATAACCTCCACATTTTCACAACGAATACTTCGGCCTCTTCGTCCAACACCTGAAAAGAAAAACAATTTGTAATATTTGAAATCAAGTGATCTGGACGGTCTTACCATTTGTACATCTTCCAGGATGACTTGTGGCTGCGATCCGGCTAATACTTTTGAACAAATAAAATCTACAAGCGTCGGTTCGGGCTCGCCGATGTATTCGATGATTTTCTTATTGATCCAGGGCCGGATCTTTTTTTCCATTAGTACGTTGTCGATGGCACTCCAATCTAGGTGATACGTGAATAAAGCGTCCTTTTCCGTCGGTATTTTTTCTATTAGAGATTTTATATTTTTCCGCTTCTCTTCCTGAGATTTCGATTCGTCCAATTTCTTCTCGCCGTTCTCTTTACTCTCCTTTTTCGATTTCTTATCTTCGTTATAATCTGAAATTCATTCAATTAGTATATATACATCACGTTAAAAATTAATTTTATGTTTGAATTACTACCAAAATAATGTAAAAAAATCAGTTGTAACTACTATGAAGGTAAGGAATAAAATGACGTTACATTTGAACTACTTTGGATCAAATAAAGTAATTAATACATTTGATTGATTACTTAAATTACTAAGAAAAAAGAAGATATGGTGGTGGGATATTAGCCAAACTGAGAGCATAGCGATAGCGGGGATATGGTAGTTGCCACATGTTCGCTGTAAAAGCATGGCTATGCCTAATACAAAATAATAAGTACTGTAGATTTAAAATACCAACAATTGTGGAAAAAATATTCCTGTAACTTCAAGAATATGCTATGGAAATAACTAAATGGGTTGATATGTTTTAACTAAAAGGAAAAAATGAACTACTAAACGCTTTTAAATTATGAACAAAATGAATAACTCTTAATAACCAGTTCAAATCTACCTTAGGACGACATTGGTTTACGTAATACTCTGTATAATACAATACAATGGATAAAAAAAAAATAGAGACTGACCTAGCGGTACTAATTTTCGTTTCTTAACCTGAGTATTACTATCATCTTCGTCCGGATTAAACACCTCTCTGAGATCGGATTTTCTACGTTTCGAGTCTCTAGTGGGCGATTGTAAGGTAATAGGTTTGGCCAGGGTGATTTTCATTCCCGTACCGGTGGGCGGAGCGACGTGGTCGTCATGATTTGATATGAACGAATGTTTGGAGTCTTCGTCGGGCGCCTGAACTTGCGTCCACTAAAATAAAAAAACAAATATTCAATTTTGAAACTAGGGATGATTTATAGAACTAGTTGAATAAAATCTGCTTTCAATTGTAAAAAAATATTTAACTAAATGAAACCTACATAGATGTGTTTTCCACTAACTATAATATGAAATTTGACATTTTTAGGAAACAGTTGGTTTTTAACATATATAAATTATACATTTTTTAAAAATAAAAAAGTTTTATATAGACCGCAAATGTCGTAAATCAAAGATTCATGTGAAAAATTATATAAGGAACACAACCATATAGGTTTTATTTGGTTCTACGTAGATTTTTTTTTCTTCGAAGCGAATTAGCGATCTGGATTTACTCCATTAAGCGAGATGTCGTACCTGAGCAGAATTGGAATTGTCCATGGAAGCGCTTTCAGGCTCTGGAGGGGCAGGACTGTAATGGATTTCAGCTTCTATATCACTATCGCTGTCTATCGGTTCGGCTTCAACAGCTGCTAGTTCTTGAGCTGCTTGTTCCATTATATACCTTAAAAAAATAATTTTAAATTAACGAATATTTAACGGTATTTGTTAATTTACTTTTCGCGTTCTTCCCGTTTTCGTTGCCTATCCCGTTCTCTGTCCAATTCCCGCATTCTTTCCCGTTCGCGTGCCTTCTGCCTCTCCATTTCCCGCTCTTTCTCGCGTTCCTTTTGTTTCCAATGTTCTAAATTGACGTCGATCAGCAATTTTGGCTTATATTGTTCTTCTCGCTCCCTCTTCGCCTTAAATAAAAAATAAAATTTAGTTCCGATATTACAGGGCGTAATACTTCACTTACCCTTTCGAATTCCGCGTTCGGATCTTCATGTTCGCCGGAGAATATCCTATTTTTTAACTCTTCTATTTCCTCCTTTTCTTTTAATCGATCTCTATTGTCCATTTCGGCTTCTTTCAAACGCTCCGCCACCCTTTTTTGAAGCTCCCTTCCCCTGAAACGAACGAAAAATAAAAACTGTCGGAACTTGATGGCTAGCGAAGAATCTTACTTGTAATATTTAATATCGTCCCTTTCGTCATCGTAATCTTCGAGGAACTCTTTTAACCGTTTGGCATCGTGTTCTCTTTCCTCCTCCTTCAATCGTTCCTTCTCCCGTTCTTTCTCGTACTCTTTGGCTTTGCGCCTTTCTCTAGTTTCCCAAGCCCTAAAAATTAAACGGTTTAGAACGATTGACCCAGCTTCCAGGATAACAATTTATTACCTTAATCTCTCCTGATAGGCGGCCTCCTTTTCTCTAGCCCTCCGTTCGGCTTTTTTCTTCTCTTTCGCTTCGTCCTCCATCTCTTTCTCCTTCAAGAGATCTCTCGAGCTGCGGCGATCGTCGCGATGATCGCGTTCCCGTTCCTTGTCCCGTTCACGTTCCCGCTCGCGATCCCTGTCGCGATCGCGTTCTCTGTCCCTGTCTCGTTCGCGTTCCCGCTGCTCCCGTTCCCTCTCGCGCTCTTTCTCCTTTTCGCGCTCGCGCTCCCTGTCGCGTTCGCGTTCTTTTTCGCGCTCCCTATCGCGATCTCTATCTCTCTCTCTGCTCTTTTCGTGGGACCTGGAAATAAAAAAGTGAATAATTAAGTCGGAAAAGGGAGAAAATTCGCTTCTAATTCGATTTCGGGCTGTAGGACATGGCGTGGCTAATAATTTAACGGTAAGTCATTACATTCTTGTCTACTTACTCCACCGTGAGCTTTTTCTTTCTAAAATAAAATTTTGAATATAAATTTTCTTATTTATTTTACAGAATAAAAATGAATAATGTCGAAATTATGATGCAAACTAACTTCGGTAGTTCCTTAGAGCTCAATTTTAGAGCCGTCATTATTTATTGTTAGCGTGATCGGAAAGTATACGATGATAGATCGATAGATCACACATTTAATGCAAAATTAGTTCCGTCCGATTTCTCCCAGTTACCGAATCACTTACAGAAATCAAAACTAAATAGATATTTCGAAGGTTTCAATCGTTCATATATAATATATATATATTTTTTTTAGAATTGAAATGACTAAGAAGTGAATACAATTTTCCCCAAAAATTAGTTTTTTCCAATTTATCCCCGTATTTCAAAAGAAGAAAAGAATTACCTGGACCTTGATCGCCGCCTTTTCCTCTCCTCTTTGTCCTTCTTTCTTGCAGGACTGGGCGAATGAGATAGAGATCTGTCCCTGTCTCGCGACGACTTGTCCTTTTCTTTTTCTTCGCGTTTCTTGCGCACCTCTTTTTCTTCCTCTTGTTTCTAAAATCAAAAATGGTCTCCTTTAAAGGGGTGACGCGTTGACCGGGAGCTGTTTTATTTAGATAAATGAAAATCATACCGTCACATACCCAGTGGCAAATTGCAGTTAATCGTTTAAGACTTTAGGGGAAGGTATTATTTTTGCTGTAATTGTTTAGAAAGAATTGTAATTAATTACTCTTTTTTGAAATCGTCAAGATAACATTAGTAATTTCTGAAATACAATATAATGGATAGGAATTGAACGGTATGTCTTTTTTTTTTTGGGACAATTTTAGATTGAAATAAAGATATTTTACGTAGAAAATTGTATTGAATAAATATCTATTTAATCCTTACAAATTTTAGTATTTTATATAAAGTGTTTCATTAATAATACGTCATAGAGTAGTAGTGGGAAAGTGCTTGTTTGTAGGTGTTTTATTTAAATATTTACTAGGATTTTGGTCCATTATTTTATATTGTTTAATATTTCATCAGTGGAATCGTCATTTTAATAGGATTGTTTAATTATTTAACTATTATTTTATTAAATTAAATACAGGAAGATACTGTCACTATGCCCTCAATGAGTTTGGAAACATTTAGATTATTTTTTTAATAAAAAGGGGCAGTTTCCAACTTAAATTTAGCAATTTAGTTGGTTTCTCTAGAATTTATAGTTACTTCACAATCAATTATAAAACTTCGAATAAATAGGCCATGCTCCCCGTTTTTCTTGTAGTGGCGAAGCCGGTTCGCCACGTCATCGGCGCCGATCGCCTGCTATAGAGTTAGGTTTATGTAGTAAGTATTACTCCTTTGCCCTTGTTTGTGTTATTCAAAATATCTGCTCAAAATAAAGTATTCATGTGCGAAAAGGAGAGAAAATACGGAAACAGTTTTGTAATGCAATGAAGAAAGACTAAAATAAACAAAGTTCTTTCGAATAGGTACATGTAATCGGTTTTGTTGTGAAGATCATTTTGAGGTAAGTTAATTTCAAATTAATTAAGATATATATTACTACAGTAGTAATTTTAGTCGTACTTGTACTTGCAATAAAAGATCTATAAAAATTCATTTAAAAAGCAAAAGCCGAAACAATGGGACAGGTACTCTATTTTATGTAAATATTAATATGAACCATAGTCCTTGTAAAAGCCATTGAAGATCAGATGGATTTTCCATACCTAATATGTATTTTATTACAATTACAAACTATCTTTTAGTATTATGTAAACTGTGATTCCTGGTATTTTTAATAATATAGAAATTTGTAGGTAAACAGTATAGAAACATCGATTTCTTAGGGCATAAATAAGAAAATAGAGATTTTTATTAATATTTGATATACTGGGTCTTGCAAAAAAACATTTAGAAAATGTTTAAAGCAGATAAAGATGGAAGAGAATATAATAGTATTGTTTTTTTTTATTCCAGCTTGAAACTGATATGGAAAACTATATAGAGAGGAAGATGATGAGCGGAAACGTAAGGCTCAGAAAGGGTGTTTTACCTCATATTTTTAAGTGTCAGCAATCAGGTTCCTGAGAGAGGTGCAGCAGCGGAAAGACGTCGCGTTAAAATCCTTCAAAATATAGTCATCAAATCTCATACACTTAAAAATCAGTGGAGTGGGTTGATTTTAGTAGTGGTAGTGATGCTATTGAAAACGACCCACTCGATCTCTTTGATGGCGGACCTACTCTTGGTCCTAACAACAATCATATGAGACATAAAAAAATCTAAGATCTAAACAAGTCTAAACTGATACCACAAACAAGTCAAATATGTTATGTTCTCCAATAAAAAGAGCAGTATCACATGTAAGTACCTGTATCAAATTTAAACTGACAAATAGTCACAGATATATAGATATATTAAAAACGTTGCTTTTTCTGAAAATCCAAAGAAACTTAACAGAGATAATAATAAATTATGATTAATTCTATCAAATGCCTTTAAGTAGTCAATCAAAACAAGAACACATAATTTATTTTCATCAACTGCAGTTAATATATCATCAGTTACTTTAAGAATTGCAGTTATTTATTTTGGTTTTCTACATACTTACGTATTCGCTTATCAATCACTTTTTCAAAATTTTTAGATAAAGTTGATAATAAACTAACAGGACGAAGATCTTTAAATTCTTGTGGTACGTTACATTTTGGTATTGGCATGACTTCTGCCAGCTTCCATTCCGACGGATAAGTGGAGTGTTTTATGCAATAGTTAAAAATATGTTTAAGAAATTGTAAGATGTAGGGGCAACTGTTCAAAATCATTGTAATACTGATTTGATCACATCCCATTGCCTTAGACTTTATAGACAATATATAGCGATAAATTTAATTTTTAAAGTCGAAACAGAAATCGTATTCATATAATTTTTATGTTTGATAGTATTGCAAAAGTTCAATATCAATTGTAGAATTTTCGCTAGAGCTACTAATAAAATAATTGTTAATGTGGTCAACGTTAGACAGTGAGTAAGGGACCAAATTAGAACAGTCTTTTTTGTTATAAATGTGTAAATTTCTACGTACTTTCCAAAAGGAATTTCCTGCGTTGCGAATTTTAAACTATAAGTATGCTTTTTTTTCTAAATTTATAGTTTTATTAGTTAAATTTCGCAACTGCTTATAATATTCAAAATGATGAGGATTATTTGTTTTCTTAAATCTATGCAGCCATGCAGTTTGGAAGATCGTCAGTAAATATATGTCAAATCTTTAGGCGCACTGTTCCTTAGTTATCAAAGTACTTTAAATAATGAATTATATGGCCACCTCCTAACAAAATAGCTAAACATTTGTCAATAGCATTTATAAAATCGTTATTTGTAGTAGAATAACTAGTCATTGCCAGGGAATCAATTTGGGACAAATTGTCTGACTGACCACGAACGAATCCCTGCTCCATTATTATTAACAAGTCGACACGTCAACTCGCAAAATCACTCTGTTGGGCGCCAAAATGGCGACTAGCCAGTATCATTTTGTAGAACCAATCGGCGCTGATGAGGTAACGCCCTAAATGGGACGGCATTCCAGGCGATATAAAATAACCCAAGACTGTCTACGTAAGTTAGTGGCATATGGAAAACTTTTTTATTATTAGTTTTAGGAAAAAGTTATTATTCATGTCTTGAAACGTAAAATTCAATCATCAATCAATCAAATTTTATCAGTCCTATACTGGGTTTGTACTTTATTCTTGAGCAATATTTATATTTCTTGACATACCTCGTATACGGCTGAAAAAATTTAATATATGATGGTTGAATTTTAGGTTTTAGACTATCCAAAACTATTTATAAAGGAAACATTTTTTTGATAAAACTAATAATAGTTTTCCATATATAGCCAGCTTACGTAGACATTCGTATATGCCCATTAATAGTGTCAATGGTTATCTTTTACAAAGTGATATTAATGCATTGAAAGACTGGTCAGTGAAGAACTATATGTCACTTAATATCAACGTTACACAATTACTTTTTGTAGAAAACATGACAAGATGTATGTATCGACCATACAAGACACTAAACAACTACTTCCTTTCGGACGTTGAATTTTAAGCGCTATATACGTGTTGGCGATCTTATTTGAATTTGATATTAGTGAAACACCCTGTATACTTACTTTCAATCTTATAAAAAAATATAAACGTTATTTTTTTACCCTTTTTTAAATCTAAAGACATACCGTTTTCATGTAAGATATCCGCATTAAAAATATTTTCGAGAATAAATAAAAATATTGCTAAAAAAAATCAGTATACAGGATGGATCATAACTAACGGGATACAGAGTAACCACACATTATTTGTGTATCGAAATATAAGGATTGGACCAAATATGCCTTGGTAAAAAAAAGGTTGAAATAATTTTAAGATTATGTATCCTATTAATTTTGGACCACCCTGTATATTAATATTTAATTTTAATAAATGCAAAAGGATAATTTTCGAATCATTTAAAACATTGTATTATGCCTACGAACAATTTCAAAAAAATTCTAAACATCGGTTTTCTTTGGATATCTTACACTTTTTTTTAGTTAAGCAAAAAATATTTACCAAAATCAATACAATAGATCTGTGAATTTACATTTGAGAAGCGGTTGTATTCGGATGTTGTATGATTGAAGAAATAAAGTATATTATTCCTTTCTCAAATATAATCCCATCAGAAAATATGAAATTTTGTTTATCGCACCAGTGACAGTAAAGAATTTGCAACGAACAAAAAAATTATGTATGGGACTGCAAATATTTAATTATTTTACAAGACGAATACAATTTGGTTATTTTTAGCCTATATATGATAAGTTGTAGAAAATCAAAATTCAATATTTCTTTTTTTAATTCTATCAAATTATGTTTTGTTAGAAAACTATCAGTATGATTAAAAGTGAGAAATAATGTACAGTGTCTCCAAAAGATTGGGACACAGCTTAACTATAGAATCCTGAGATATTTTCAAAATTATCTGGTTAAGTAGGTATAAAACGTGTTTTAGAAAAAAAAAAAAAAAATAATTTATCACATAAGAAAAAAACTCCACATTAAACTCCTGTGATATACTGATTTTATGTTAAAAGATAAATATTCCTGATATCTAGATATTTCCTATAAAATGCAGAAGTCATCAGATCAGATTTTAGTGTTTTTTTACTTTAAGACTGGGTTTACGTGAAAATTGGCGCGAACAAAATGGATGTAAAAATTTAACTATACCATAACCTGTAATATACATACATTGGTGCCAATGGATATAATGTAATAGCTACAGTAGAATACCACAATTGTAGATAGTGACTCATGTTGTAAAGAAATTTTATAGGCCAATCAAATTAGACGTTTACCATGTACAAAAAAAGTTATTTTTAATAGTTGTTGATTTTTTGAATACCGACAAAAGGAGAAATAGTATTAATTAATAAACAAATTAGTGGGGTATTGCAAAATTTATTTAATCTCTTACTAATTTACAAAAACCTTCTCCTTCTACT